CTTAACAAACACCAAAGTTATTCCGATCAATCAGTTATATGGCGGCTATAGGATATAGTCGGCTGATCCTTATGAAATTTGGTAGGTCGGATTTATTGGCCAAATATAAAACCCATAGAAAATCCCAACTTCCTAACTTAACAAACACCAAAGTTATGGCATTTCCGATCAATCAGTTATATGGCAGCTATAGGATATAGTCGGCCGATCCTTATAAAATTTGGTAGGTCGGATTTATTGGCCAAATGTAACCCCCATAGAAAATGCCAACTTCCTAACTTTACAAACACCAAAGTTATGGCATTTCCGATCAATCAGTTATATGGCAGCTATAGGATATAGTCGGCCGATCCCGGCCGTTCCGACATATATACTGCGTGCAAAGGAAAGAAGGGTGTGTGCAAAGTTTGAACTCGATAGCTTTAAAACTGAGAGACTAGTTTGCGTAGAAACAGACAGACGGACAGACGGACAGACAGACGGACAGACAGACGGACAGACAGACGGACAGACGGACAGACGGGCATGGCTATATCAACTCAGGAGGTGATCCTGATCAAGAATATATATACTTTATAGGGTCGGAGATGTCTCCTTCACTGCGTTGCACACTTTTGACCAAAATTATAATACCCTCTGCAAGGGTATAAAAAGAATAGTTCAGGGGAAATGGAAAATACCATTAAAGAACCATCCCCAGCGCCCTCCACATCCTCTTCTGTCCCAAAAAACTAGCCTCCTCTTTTCTTCTTTGCTATCAGAATACAAGAGGCTTACTTAGTAAGCTGACTAAATTGTATTCGGATGTTTTTCTTTCCCATATAATATTATGGTATGTACAGAGACCTGGTTAAGGCCGGATATTCTTAGCTCCGAAATTCTCCCGGGTAAGTACACAATTTATAGGCTTGATCGTCAGTCCAGACGGGGAGGTGGAGTCCTGATTGCTGTCGACTCCACCTTTTCGTCTGAATTACTAACTTTCGAAGAATTTTATGACATCGAATTCCTAGGTATAAAATTATCGTTTCCCGGTAGTTTTGTATATATTACTTGTTCATATATCCCACCATCATCTGAGTTCCCTATTTACGCAAATCACCTTTCCGTTATTCAGTCCATTTCCAAAAAACTGTCAGATCGAGATCAGTTAATAGTATTGGGTGATTTTGATATACCTAGTGCGACATGGTCCCCTGACGAAAACTCTAACATTTTACTTCCTTTAGCGCAGCATGACTTTATTGACGGCTTGCTTGACATTGGCCTATCCCAAGTGAACCATGTTAAGAACTCCATAGGACGTTTACTGGACTTGTGTTTTGTTTCAAATTCAGAAGGCGTTTGCCTATCAAGAACGTCACCACTTACACAACCGGAAGATCCTTATCATCCAACTCTAGAGCTGACTGTAGACGCAAGAACAGAGCTGAATAAAAAATCCGAAAAGTCGGTTAAACGAATCCGCTGCTTCCGTAAGGCAAACTTTCATCTTTTAAATACTTTTATATCCGGCTATGACTGGTCCGAATTTTATTCATGCACTAACGTGGCTAAGGCCGTTAATATCTTTTATAATGGCTTGAATTCTTACTTTTATCTCTGTGTTCCGTTATACTATCCGTCAATTTCAAATAAAACTCCGTGGTTTAATAAAGAGTTGTCCCACCTAAAAAATATTAAGTCGAGACTTTTCAATAAATTTAAAATATGTGGTTCACAATCTGCCTTCTCTCGGTACCTAAGGGCTCGGTCAAATTTTATCGTACTTAACGCCCGGTGTTATAAAAGCTATTTGACTCGTTGTAGGGTCCAATTTTCACAAGATCCAAAACAGTTTTATAATTTTGTTAACACTAAGCGTAAATCAGCCTGTTACCCTGCATCACTATCATTCGAAAACTCTACGGCAAATTCTGATCAGGCAATTGCCGATCTATTTGCCCAGTTTTTCCAGACAACATATTCTGTTTCATCCCGTCCAAATCCGTCTTATTCAAATGCCATACCCAAGTCGAACTTGATTTTTTGTTTGAGGTTAAGCGAAAGCTCCCTTCTTTTGGATCTTCATAAAGTTAAGCCTATCTATTCACCGGGTCCGGACGGAGTTCCAGGCTGCGTGCTGAGGTACTGTGCTGAAACTCTGTGTAGACCTCTGTACAAATTGTTTACCTTGTCTCTAAAAACATCTCATTTCCCACTTATTTGGAAGGAGTCATTTGTCATTCCCCTTCATAAGAAAGGAAATAAATGCAATACAAGTAATTACAGAGGCATATCCAAATTATCCGCCATCCCAAAGCTTTTCGAAAACACTATTACACCCCATTTGCAACATCTTTGTAGATCGATTATATCTCTATGTCAACATGGATTTATAAGGCGAAGATCTACGACGACAAACCTCTTGGAGCTAACGTCTTTTGTAATAAATGGCTTTAGAAAGAACATGCAGACTGACGTAGTTTACACTGATTTTAGTAAAGCGTTTGATTCAGTAAATCACTCACTTCTCGTATTAAAGCTAGACTTATTAGGGTTTCCATGTGATCTTCTAACATGGATCTCAAGTTATCTGAGTGTAGGACTCAACGAGTCCTCTTAAAAAACTCGATCTCTGATTTGATCCGAGTTACTTCAGGCGTCCCACAAGGAAGCCACCTTGGCCCACTTCTTTTTACTTTATTTATAAACGATCTCCCTCTAGTCTTGACAAAGTCGCGTGTCCTTATGTACGCAGATGACGTTAAGTTATGCCTGCAATATAACGAAATTTCTAGCAGTTCAGACTTACAATCTGACCTAAACGCTTTTCAAACATGGTGTTGTGAAGATCTCTTGGATTTAAATAGCGCTAAGTGCAAAGTAATGACATTTTTTCGGGTGAACCCACAATATGCAACGTATTCGCTGGGTGGTTGCGCGTTGTCTAGAATTACGCATGTTGATGACCTTGGCGTCCTCCTTGACCCTAAACTTAAGTTTTGTGACCATATTACTTCTATGGTGACTAAAGCCAGGGGAGTACTTGGATTTATTAAAAGGTGGTCAAAGGAATTCGATGATCCCTATGTTACAAAGACTCTGTTTATTTCACTAGTCCGTCCAATCCTGGAGTACTGTTCTGCAGTTTGGAGTCCTCAGTATGGTGTACACATAGACCGGATAGAGTCTGTGCAAAAGAACTTTTTATTATTTGCTCAACGGGGCCTTAACTGGAATGCAAGCCTTAGTTTACCATCCTACTCTAGTAGACTTCTCCTAATTAATCTACCATCCTTAGTAAACCGTAGAACGATGCTTGGCACAACTTTTATCTATAAACTTATTCACGGGGATGTGGAGAGTCCCGAGTTACTGGGTCGCCTAAGCTTCTCCGTGCCTAATAGAATTACCAGGAACTATGTTCCTCTTACATTAAATATTTGTAGATCTAACTTTGATATGCATGAACCGTTTAGAGTACTGTGTAACGACTATAATAGACTATACCACAGTATTTCTACTACCGACTCTTTGCCAAGCCTAAAATCATTAATTTTTTCTTACTTAGCACAAAATTAGTATTAGTCTCGTACGTATTTCTAATCTTGTCTGTCCGCTTCTACATTGTGCTTTTAACTTCTCGCGATCTCGTTTTTACGCCTATTAGGCTCCGCGCGTAACAAGCACTGCTTGGTGTCGTAAGGGCCACTTGTTTGCGCTGATCATAGTGCATCAACGTCCGAAAGAATAGCTTATATACTGCGCGAAATATCCTAAAAATCATTAAATATTAACCGATTTCACCCTATTGTTCCTATGGGAGCTATAGGATATAGACGTCCGATCGTCACGCGCTTTTACCCTAATCAAGGTATGCATACAAAATACGATTTGAAAAGATTCATGTCAATTGCTTATATACTGTGCGAAATATCCTAAAATTCATTAAATTTTAACCGATTTTACCCTATTGTTCCTATGGGAGCTATAGGATATAGACGTCCGATCGTCACGCGCTTTTACCCTGATCAAGGTATGCATAAAAAATGCGATTTGGAAAGATTCATGTCAACTGCTTATATACTGTGCGAAATATCCTAAAAATCATTAAATATTAACCGATTTCACCCTAATTTTCCTATGGGAGCTATAGGATATGGACGTCCGATCGTCACGCGCTTTTACCCTAATCAAGGTATGCATAAAAAATACGATTTGAAAAGATTCATGTCAATTGCTTATATACTGTGCGAAATATCCTAAAAATCATTAAATTTTAACCGATTTCACCTTATTGTTCCAATGGGAGCTATAGGATATAGACGTCCGAGCGCCAAGCGCATTTACCCTGATCAAGGTATGCATAAAAAAATAAGATTTGGAAAGATTTATGTTAATAGCTTTTACACTGCGCGAAACATCTTCCATTCTTGCAAGTTATATCCGATTGTTCCTATGGGAGCTATAGGATATCGACATTCGATCGGGCCGGTTTTCAAACTTGATCTGTGTACACATGCTTTAGGACGACTGTGAAAGTTTCAGATCGCTAGCTTTTAAACTGAGCTCGCAAACGGTATTGAAACAGACGGATGGACGGACAGACGGTCTGTCGGACATGGCTATATCGAATACTCTATTGATCCTGATCAAGAATATATATACTTTATGGGGTCGGAAACGTCTTCTTCACTGCGTTACAAACTTCTGACCAAAATTATAATACCTTTTGCAAGGGTATAAAAATCAGAATCTATTAAAGATGGTACAATTACAACCGATTTCCTTTAAAAGAACTCATTGCCATCTTGTTGTTAATATTCCCATTATCCAATGTGTTGGTCCTTGTTGTTTTCGCCTTATTAAATTAGGGTCTGTCCGCCAGCTGTCACATGCATAAGACATTTGTTGTCCCTGCCCCATAATTTTCCAAGACAAACGGGAATCTAATCTTCAAAGTATACCTTTACCTCGCGGTCATTGCAAAGCTATAAATTTACCTACCTGTTTACCAGTTTTGCAGGTGACCTGAAAAAGGTATTTACGGAAAGGTATGCGAAACCAATTAAATAACGGTTAGCGCGGAAAATACGTCAAATTGACAGCTGTTGAGCTTACCTAACTGTGATCGGTGGATTACGAAAAAACGAGGTGAAAAGGTATGCCTACAATTTTACCTGTGCCCGCTATAAGAGCACTCACAGAAGCACAGAAAGCCACAGTTACAAACTGAAGCGTCTAACGTCAACAACCAAATAAAGAAAGTCACCGAACAACGTTCAAAGGCACAACGAGATGATAGTAAATACGGCCGCCATGAACAGTGAAGATCTTAGCGAGCTACTGCAGCTGAATGCGGAGATCGAGGAGCGCCGCCGGTCTAGCCGACACGGAGAGGCCAGGAACGCATGCGGCTTGCTTCGGGCTACAATGACCCGGGAGGAGCTCTTCGAGATCTCCTCCCTGGACGACGATCGCTTCCTGACAGCCCTGGAGCATCAAAACTCGTACATGACACCGCGCCGAGTTCAGGTTACCGACCTGGATTTATCCAGTATCGAGAATCTTATGAAGTACTTCGACGAAGAGGTACCTGTAACACCCACCAAAACACTGGGGGCCTCCAAGGCAGGCGCCACAGGAAAAGTGGCAAACATCATTGCGAAGCTGCGCCACCAGTTGGATACGGTTTCTCCCGATAAGCCGAAGATGGGTAGTGGTAACCTAAAGATAAATGAACTCAAGCAGAAGTACGAACAGCAGTCGGAGATGGATACCCCACCTCCAGCACATCTGAGACCTAGAAAGTCGTCCGCTTTACTGCCCATAAAAGTGAAGGAGATGGCCCAGCTGTTCAACTCGAAGATTAGCCAGGTAATAGGTCGCGGAGAGGAGCCGCACTACGTTCAACTGCAAAACGAGCTCTCCCCGGAGCCCAAGCCCCAATACCACCTGGAGTCGGGGCAAGGACCCTGCTTAGTGGCCGAGGATGTATTTCGCGAACTGAGCGTGAAGGACAAGGCGCTTCTGTTTAATAAATTCATTGGCGACATGGCGGCCAAACATCCCAAATTCACCGCACATGCGGCGGATCTCAAGGCGCAGGTGAATAAGCAGATGGCCCGTGGCGAGGTTGTAGCGGAAAAGCAGGTCAGCGTTAAGCATCTAGCTCAGGAGTTGGAAGCGAAGTGTATTTTGGACGGATCGCCACCACGGCCGAAAGAAGTTTCTCCTCCCAGGCCGACTGAAGGCAAAACCGATACAATCACTTCTCAGCTCCATGTAAGCACACTTACTGTGATCCTGAAGCCAAATTTGGAGCGTCGGGTCCCACATACACTGACTCGTCGTTGCTTGGAGCGTCAGAGCGAGAACCACAATCAAGAGCGATCCCAAAAACGTAACCTTGCGGAGATACGTACTGTCTTGACAACGGAGGCCTATGCGCCGCCCAAGAAAATCCGACGCACTCGGCAAGAGCGCACCGGATGTGACAGCCAAGTGTTTTTTCAGAATGAGCAGCTTGAGACCCTTTTCTACAGTTGGCTAAGCACAGAAAATGGAGTGCAGTTTGATATAACTTGTGTATCCAACGGCCAGCAGCCCATAGAAATAGCCACCGAGGAGGGGGAGTACCTGGAGCAGACCATACTGAAGCCGAACGCCGTCGAGATGGAAGAGGGGAGCCCAAAGTCCGCTGTTGATCGGCTCCTGGAGGAGGCCATAGCCAAACTGGAGCTGGAAAAATCACTAAAAGGAGAAAAGAAGGAGAATATAGCTCAAGATCAGATCATCCAAGATACTCCGCGACTCATTAAACGTCAGGCTCCACCAGTGCCTGCGAAACGTCTAAGTCTGAGTCAAACCCATTCCAGTGCCTCCAGCTGCAAGCAATCCGAGGCTGAAGAGAGTGAATCCGGATTGTCTACTCTACCCAAGGTAAGTGCTATCTCAAATAGACAGATGGAAGAATAAGATCTCATTATGTTTCCTTCCCACTCACAGATTACAAGTGACGAATCACAGCTAGAGACGCCAAAAGAAGGCTTGCAGCCATGTGACTTTGACTTTGTTAAGCCCCAGCGGCCGCCTCGTAAGAAGAAGATGCGTCGAACTCTAACTTGGAAGAAGGAAAACTCCATTGTGGAGGCCACCGCGATCACCTCAACCGACTCCGATTCGGATTACAAGCCGCCCGTTTTAGCACAGGCCAAAAAAAAAGCGATTGCGAGCTGCAGTTTTCCACTGCCTGAACAAAGTTTTATTGAGTTGGACAAGTCCCTGATGCGCCATGTGAACTCGCCACGGAAAATCAAGTCAGCATACACCCTAACCGTAATGTCATCTCCCTCGCCAAATGCGGACAGCGATCAGTCACCAACTCAGACACCAAGGCAGTCCCTTGCGCAAACGATGAGGGACAGTTTTGTGGATCAGGGCTTCGAGACGTGCTCGAATGATCCCATGGACAGTAGTCCGCTACGCCGATCCTCGATAGGTGTCTTGGACTCGAAGCCTTCGTGTTTTTCTACTCCCATTAAAAGCCGTCATGCTGGCAGTCCGGTGCAGCAACAACTGTTCAGTCCCATTCCCGTCCAGGAAAGGCCTCGTCGTAGTTCTGTGGCCATGCAGGTGATTCGGGAGGATCATCCGCTAGATATAGACGCCACATCCAGCTCGCCTTCTACTCCCTGCAGTGAGCGTGAGTTCTTCGCTAATGCCCCGACTGTCGAGATGAACTCTCAGGATGAGATTCAAGCCAGCAAGTCACATTCGGTGTTCTGGATCACATCCGGGGATTTCACTGTCTCATTAGAAATCTTCCAAAACAGTCCTGAGCGCCTTCGTCTGCTTTATGAGATCTTTACGCAGAAGAGCTTGGAGACTCGAGATCTTGCCTTCGGAATCGACGGGCACAAGTTTATCCACGGATGTAGAAACTCCGACGCCGGCGGACAGTCGCTGCCCGAACGCCCACCCAGCGTAAAGGGCTGCTCCCATTACTGGTTCGCCAGCGGAGACCTTGCCGTGCCATTCAGCGGAAAACTAATGTCCAACGAGAAAATTGAGCGGTTATTCGCATTTCTCACCGGAGAACAGACCCCGTTACGCTTCGGCGTGGACAACATTGAATTCAGCAGCGTTCCTGAATTCTGGCCCACTACCCAGAAGTATTCGATTGAGAGCTGCTACAGCATGCTGGTGGGACTGCAGACAGGCGCCAGCAACGGCCTGGAAGGGCGCAACAAGTACTCCTGGCCCAACAATAACATCAACGTCAACCAGGCAATTAAAACTAGCGACTTAGATCAGACAGAGTTGGAAACCGATAGCTTCAGCAACAATAGCGGAAGGCTGTCGTTTTCGCCCGACATATTTACCCTGGACTATGAGGCGGTTCCCCTAGATGAACTATTCGCCAAGGCGGCTCCAGTTGATGGAGCACCAGTCATGTCTGTGCCGCTGATGATGCAGACCCTGAAGCAGCAGCAATGCAAGCTTCGCAATGTGGAGCAGCGCATCCGCTGCTACGCTAGACCCTCCAATTTGACGGACGCCTCGTTGGAGCACTGCCGCAATACGCCGCAGTATGTCCACAAGCTGCGCTCCATCGTCCGAGCTATAGATAACATCGGACGCGATGAAGGGTTCCGGAGCTGCTCAATGGAGCAGCTCGAGAGCTTCATGTATTTTCTCAGCGAATATGCGGATGTGTGCCTAGCCAATTGCAGCGACCACATGGACAAGATTCTCGACACACTGATGGATCGAAGGGCCGTGGAAGTTTGAGCGGTGGTGTGATAGCATTATAATTTGACTTTATAATACGGTTTCTTACCAATTAGATTCTACAGATTAACATAAAATGTTACAAATCTACACATAATAAATTTTACAGAGAAAATTTAATTTGAAGGATTCATTTGGAGTGTCGGTCGATGTTAAGTTACCGAAACCAGGGATTGTGAGGGCAGTCCATTGATAAATACTCCGTCAGCGGCATGTTGTTTTCCAAAGCCAGTTCAGCCACTAATAAGATTATTATCATGTTGAATGCACTTCAGACACTCCCTTCCAATAAAAAATAGCTCCCATAGGAACAATCGGAAACATATTTTTTAAAAGTATAACTTTGATAAACCCTTGCAGAAGGTATTATATTTTTGGTCATATATTTGTAACGCAGTGAAGGAGACGTTTCCGACCCTATAAAGTATATATATTCTTGATCAGGCTATTGATCCTGGAGTCGATACCCTGCAGTACCGTTCATCACCTTTTAATCGCTTTTTCATCACCAAAAATTCATCACTGCTGATGATTAATCGATGAATCTTCATACAAATTAGTGATGAATTTAACATTGACATGTCCTAGGCGTTAATCAGTGAAAAATTCATCACTCTTTAATCAGTAATTCATCACTCTTTTTTCAGTTTTTCATCACTCTTTAATCAGTAATTTATCACTCTTTAAACAGCATTTACTGATGAACATGCGATGAAATAGTGATTAACGAGTGATGAATTACTGATTAAAGAGTGATGAATTAATCAGTAATTCTTTTTTAAAGAGTGATTAAAGAGTGATGAATTAATCAGTAATTCATCACTCTTTAATCAGTAATTTATCACTCTTTGATCAGTAATTCATCACTCATTAATCACTATTTCATTGCATGTTCATCAGTAAATGCTGTTTAAAAAGTGATGAATCACTGATTAAAGTGTGATGAATTCATTACATTTTCATCAGTAATTCATCAATCTTTAATCTGTAATTCATCACATTTTCATCGCTTTTTCATCGCATTTTCATCGCTTTTTTTCATCAGTAAAATTCATTCAGTAAATTTTCATATAAATTTCTTTTTATTGTATTACATTATTTCATTATTATTTCATTTATTTCATTACATATAACTAATTAATTTAACTTAATTCAATCTACATATGTATGTACGTTTTCAGTTGTCTCGGAGGTGTTGAGGATGTTTTGGTATCGGTGCTCTTTTTTTGACTTCGTGCTTTATGTACTGGCTCTTCCTGACCAAGTATATCTAAAATAGAAAAATTATTATAAAATATATAAAAAGTTACTGCGTTTCTTGTTTTGCCGCCGGCCAAGTCCAGCTTAGTTTATGATAGCCCAACATTTTTATTATAAGCATCGCCTTAAATAATGAATAAATATATTAACAGTATATGTAGGTACAGTTCAAATTAATTAATAAAATAACAATAATTAATAAAACACACTTACATATCACCAAAAATCTCAGCTTCGATCTGTTCTCTCCGTTCTCTCAAATGCAAGCATGGAGTAAGCATAGATTAAGAAACTATATAGAGGTTTCATTTGCTCTGCCCGCGCTCTCGAGTGACTTTGGCAGTGATGCCACGTAGGGGAAAACCGGAAAAAAAAAGTTTTTCATTTGTTCGATCGAACTGGAATCGAGTCCCGCGGTCAGTTTCTGCAGCTGCACTGGTCGCTCTTATTCCCAAGGGTTGATGCGAGAACTCCCATAATATTGCTTGTGCCTCGCACATTTTGTGTGTGGTGACAAGCCGAAGTTAGCTTCGAACATGGCTCTCAGCAGAGCTATGGCAGAAGTGCGGGCAGAGCAAATGAAACCTCTATATAGTTTCTTACTCTATGCTTAGGGATTATATTGGTCTTTGATATAGCCATGTCCATCTGTCCGTCCGTCCGTCGGTTTCAATACCGTTTGCGAGCTCAGTTTAAAAACTAGCGATCTGAAAGTTTCACAGTCGTCCTAAAACATGTGTACGCAGATGAAGTTTGAAAACCGCCCCGATCGGATGTCTATATCCTATAGCTCCCATAGGAACAATCGGATATAACTTGCAAGAATGGAAGATATTTCGCGCAGTGTGAGAGCTATTGACATGAATCTTTCCAAATCAAATTTATTTATGCATACCTTGATCAGGGTTAAAGAGCGTGCCGATCGGACGTCTATATCCTATAGCTCCCATAGGAACAATAGGGTGAAATCGGTCCAAGTTTGATGTTTTTCAGAATATTTCAGCTATTGACATACATTTTTCCAAGTCTTATTTATTTACGCATATCTAGATCAGGGTAAAGCGCTTGGCGATCGGACGTTTATAGTTTCCGTAGTAATAAATGTTAAAGGCGTCGAAAATATCCCTTTTTTTCTATTTTTATATAACGGTTTTGCAGTATAAAAGCTATTGACATGAAACTATGCAAGTCTAATTTATTTGTGTATACCCTATTCTTTTCCCTACTTTTTAAATTTCAGCAATTTTGGCAAAGCCTACAAGGGCTTCGGCTTGCCGAAGTTAGCTTCCGACCTCGTTTTAAATAATTTCTTTTTTTTTTTTGTTCTTTGGCATTTGGTAATATTTAAATACTATGGAATTACGGTTTTAATTAAATTAAAATCCCATAGGCAAATCAAAAAATTAAAAATAATACAAATTAAAAAAAAATGTATTTTGCCGTTTTTCTTTTTATCAAAATATTCCTTTGCGATTTAGTAATTATTTACTATACCAGACTTACGCATTTAGTTTTGTCAAAATGCAGCTTAAAATCAATATGCTTTTAGTGTTTTTAGTAACAATAGCTTGCCGATGTTTGCTCCTTTTCTTTTTATACCCTTGCAGAGGGTATTATAATTTTGGTCAAAAGTGTGCAACGCAGTGAAGGAGACATCTCCGACCGTATAAAGTATATACATTCTTGATCAGGATCGCCTCCTGAGTTTATATAAGCATGTCCGCCTGTCTGTCCGTCTGTCTGTCTGTCTGTCTGTCTGTCTGTCCGTCTGTCTGTCTGTCCGTCTGTCTGTTTCTACGCAAACTAGTCTCTCAGTTTTAAAGATATCGAATTGAAACTTTGCACACACCTTTCTTTCCTTTGCACGGCCGACTATATCCTATAACTGCCATATAACTGAACGATTGAAAATGCCAAAGCTTTAATGTTTTTGATGTTACGAAGTTGGGATTTTTTATGAGTACTAAGAATGCATCATATGAATAATTTTAAAGAATATAATTTACAGAATATTCTGCAAGGGTATATCAACTTCGGCTCCGCCCGAAGTTAGCTTTAGAGAATATTATTTACAGAATATTCTGCAAGGGTATATCAACTTCGGCTCCGCCCGAAGTTAGCTTTCCTTTCTTGTTTAATAATACTTTTGCAACAAAATTTTCATAATATATTGGAATTATTTTATTTGTCCCTATTTCTTGCAATGGTATCATTAATATACATTATCACTCTTATCTTAAAGAAAAACAAACTAAGGCCTATGATATATATATATATTTAAATATATTTCTGAATGTAGCTTAGAACGTTCTTATTTTTAATTAATCTTTATGGTAGATGGATAATTTTATAATTATGCTTAAAATTAAAGCCCTTCTCAACTCGCCAGGTATAACTAAATTATTTCTTAACAGATGTGGTTTTAATCGTGTCTATTTTTTTAATCATATTTCTTGGTATCATGATTTTAACGGTTTTTGATTAAGTCATTTTAAGTGCCTGCTCTAGGGTATTTTCAAGCATTCATTTTTTATTTTAATTATTAAATTTGTAAATGGTTGCTCTCTACTTCCGTACAAATGAACATTAATTTCTAATGTCTATAACAAGTACATAATTTACAATTGCATTTGGTTTTTATCCATGGATGTACGTGTTTATTTACAATTTTTTTTATAAATGTACCTGTGTTATTTTAACAGTTTGTCAGGATTACAAATATATTTTTTCTCTTGTCCATTTAAATAAATTGTTTTCAAACCAAAATAACCAAGATTTATGTGGTTTGGCTTTCTTTTCTTGTTTGCATTTGGCAAGTTTAATAAATCTTTTACTGGCATTTACTTACCAATCTATTAGAACTTAAATTTTTTTTAGCCCAACCAAACCAAAAAATATAAACTAATTTTTGGAACACATTAATAAAGTACTTGGAGGCAACTCTGTAATGAATATGCTTTGTTGATTAATAATATGCCTTTGTTCGCCCTCATACGCATATTAACAACAAATAAAATCAAGTATTAACCAACAAAGCCGTAAAAACCAACGTACAACTTGGAAGGTGTTTGCAATTTGTTTAACTACTTATATTGTATTACAAAATTTGACTTTTAGTTTTCATATAAATGAAAAGATACTTTTCGTAAAGCATTCGGTGACCTCAAAGTTGTAGCAAAAACCTTTTTGCCCATATATGATCTTTTATAACAGTCAACTGATTAGTTTTTTTTTAATTTTTAAGAACAAATTCAATTGCAAACATTTAAACATTTTTAAGAAGGTTTTGAACGAAAGAATGCGATTATTTCTCACACATATTTTAGTTAAAGTAGTGTATGGGACGTAGTCTCACTTTTCTTCTAATAACTTCGCAAAGAAATTTTTAAAATTGCTTAAAAGAATATATTCAAAAATTAAAGGTCCAATTTAAAGTTAGATAACATAATATTCTTGAGGCTCAAAATTGATAGAAATCCTAATTTTCAAATTCAGACTCCAATTCATCACAAAAAAAATATAATAGAAAAGTATACCCAACACAGTGTTATAGTTGTTATAGCTTATCATAATCTTCTGTATTTACTTTTACGTCCGACTGCGAACACTTTTGACTTCTACTGTTTTAATGGCACTTTATTAATACGATTTGAATTTTATGCTCTAGCCGTACGAGCGTGTTGTCTGCAGCAAAAAAAGCGTGAGAAGCCAGCCGGTGAGCAGCGAGTAGGAAGCTGGGGTAGGGTGGCCATGGCTGCCGTTGGTCTTGCCTTTGGACCAATCATAGTCCTTTGGGCCCGTCAGCTTCTGCTTCGTTTTATCAATCTCGTTCAGATTCGTTTGATATTTACTGACCGCTG